TGACGTTATGGGTATCAAAGTCACCTGGTTGATGTGGTCTATATGCACAACTGGAGATCACCGTTTGGGCAAATCTTTTAGTATTATCCCATGAACCCTGTGGCTCTCTATATAGTAGTGATAAAGCTAAACTAAGTAATTAGATCTTAGTTATAGTTCATTAGACCGTTGGTAAATTTAGTGATGACGTTTACTATGACTGAGATGATTTCTCTATCCAAATTTGACAGTACCTTTGATGTTAAGTACCTAATATGGATCCAACATGTAGTTTGAGTTGTCTGGTTAGGATGTTATACTTAGATGGGAACATTGAGGGGGGTGTGCACGACATGGTGGATAACTTGAAAAATAAGGAAATACCTGAAATTAATTAGGTCTCGCACTTTACCATTAATGATGTCTAGTGTCAATTTGTTAACTAGGTTTAAGTGCAATAGGGTCCTCAGTCGATGTCGTTGCATCTTAAAAAAAAAAAATAATAATAATAAAATCGATTTACAAAATGAATCTATTAACATCATAGTTTATTTAATTCATTTTATTTATTTATTTTATTTATTATTTTCTTTATTTTCTTAATTTAAATTATTATAATGTTATATAGAATAGATTTTATATAAATATAAGAAGTTTAGTATTAAGTAACAATAGGATTTCTTAGATTTAATTCAAGTATATTTTAAATTCGTTTGTAGTAATAAATCTTTCAATAAATAAACTGTTTAATACAGACGTGCTAAAGAGGCAGTACTATAATTTTATTTCATTTATTCTATACGTATTTTATTGTATTTCTTTTACACTTATAAATGTTTAATTATTTTTCTTATCTTCTTTATGAAGGAAACCTTCTGCATTCATAAATATATTGCTTATTTTAGTTAAGCGATTCAAAGAATAGCATAATAATATTTAAATTCTATAATAATTTTATTAGGAAAAAATGTATTTTTTTTATTATATATATTTTTTAGCATATCGTTAATAAAATTTATATTGATAAGAATTATTTTAATTTTTCACTTAATAATAAATTACTTGATAAAATGATATATATATTTTATATAGCACATTTACTAAAAAAATTCAGAAGCAATATCTTAAGTAAAAAAAAATTAAATAGATATTTTCCTAATGAGTGAATCAATTTAACTGATAATAATTCAGATATAAACAGCAGATAGGAGAACTGATTCTAAAAAGACTGGTTTGAATTAATTATTAGAATCAATATTAAAAGCTAGTTAAATTATTATAACTAGTTCTAACCAAACTGCTCAAATCAGTTTATTAGAATTAGTTCAAATTGGTTATCTAGAACTGAATCTAAGAATCTGGGTTTATTTAATTCTACTATTAGAATCAGTTTCATAAAATTAAAACTAAACAGAACTGAGATATTCTATTTCAGTTAATATAATAATCTAATATTTATGCTAGATTTTATCACAAAATTACACAAAAATTGTGATTATAATTCTGGTTAAAATCAACATAATTTCCAAATAAAATCCAAAGAAATCCATAAATGAAAATTTTGATCATATAGTTAACTAAAACACCACTTAAATTTGAATGTCATCAACACAAAATCATAAAAAAATTGTCAAAATTATGATAAAATCATGACTAATAAAGCCTGAATTCATATTATTTCTTTATAATAAAATAAAGTTATATATAGGATTGAAAAAGTTCAAAAAAGTCCTAATTAATTTTAAAAAAAATTATTAGTTTTAAAGATATATTTATTATTTTAAAATCAATATTAAAATTACTTATTAAAATAAATTTAAAATTCTTTATATAATTTAAAATATTTTAAAATATTATATTTAGGACCTAGATCCTAGGATCAGATTCTGAATAAAGTATATTTCTAATTTTTAAAAGAATTTGTTTTTATTTAATTAATAAAAATTATCTATACAATTAGGACTTTTACCAATCTAGTTACATGCGAAATTTCAGTATGTAGGAATTTACATTGTTTATTACGCCAAAAAAAAAAAGGTTGGCTAAAAATGATAAACAGTTATGGCGCGTAGTAGTAATAATTTTATATACAAAGGATCGGTCTTAGGATCGATCGGTTAATCAGATCCGATCTTCAACCTTCAGATTGATCTTAACAAAAAAAATCCCAAAAAAAATAATAAGAAAAAAAAATACAAAAATGAGAATCAAATATACAACAGGATATGCAGAAACTGTAATTAAAGCAATCGATGATAAATCTTCCGAGTTGAGGACTATCAGTTTAAAGGTGCCTATGATCATTATAACGTATATTTCAAAATAATTTATTCAACAATTCATCTATTTATTTATAATAGATTCATGAAAATCCAGAATTAGGTATTTTATTCATTTAAATTAACATGAAATTTTTTTTAAAAAAAAAAATACTTATAATATGCTTGATTATTTAGCTTATGAAGAAAAATTTGCTCATGGTTTGTTGGTAAAATATCTCCAGGACGAGGGTAAGAATTCCATTAAACCTTTAATGGCAATTTTCTCATAAAGTTCGGTATATAATTGAATATCTAATTAAGGATTTAACGTAACTCCTTCTGCATACGGTCTCGAGACGGCGTTTGTTGCAGAATTTCAATCCATAGCTGGTCGAGGTAGAGTAGTTTCATTTAATTCCGAGTAAGTAAGATTAATATGTAATTTAATTGTTTTATCATTTACGGAACAATTCATAACTTTCCTTTGCCATAGGTATGATGCTCTTCCTAATATCGGTCATGCTTGTGGTCACAGTAAGTTTTTCTCCAAGTATAATCAGAAAGAGCGATTTTTGGATTTAATTAATTTGCTTAAATGATGTAATCAGATCTGATTGCGATTAGCGGAGTCGCTGCTGCAATTGCATTAAAAGCTGTATTTGAAAAGCATCAAATTCCTGGAACAGTGAAATTATTTGGTACTCCGGCTGAAGGTTGTTATTCTCCTCTTATCAAATCTTTTGTTTTTAATTGTTTATTAACTTTTAAATTTTTTTTAGAAAAAGGAACTGGTAAAATTGATTTGGTTAACGCGGGTGCTTATAATGATGTTGATATTTCTTTAATGGTTCATCCAAGGTAAAATTATTATTAACTTTTAACAAATTTCCTATCTGATTTCCTTTTTTTTTTTATTAGTCCATTTGATGGATGTTTCATAAAGTCTCTTGCTATTCAATCTTGTGAAGTTAAATATTTTGGAAGAACTGCACATGCTGCTGGAGCGCCATGGAAAGGAATAAATGCGCTAGATGCAACGATTTTGGCTTATAATAATATTGGGTTATTACGACAACAAATTTTACCCACCAATAGGTATTTCCTAAGTTCTTATTAATTATTTTTATTATTGAATTGTTAAATAATTTTTTTTTTTTTTATAAGAATTCATGGAATTATAACTAATGGTGGTAAAGCGCCAAACAGTTTAGTATTATAATGTTAACGACTGTTTTACATCATATTAATGATATAAAGTAATTGTTCTTTAATTATTATATTTAAACCAGTTATTCCAGATTATACTTCATCGGAATATTTTATTCGAGGAAGAACGATTAAGGATTTGACCGATCTAAGATCACGCGTTCATCAATGTTTTGAAGCGGCTGCTGTAGCAGCTGGATGTACAAAGGAAAATGGGGCCAAAGATCCTAGCATCTTCTGGAATAGGGAAGTCTTTGGTAAGTTGCTTAAAATTTTTTATCGTTATTAATTGTTTAACAAGCAACTTAAAAACAAGCATAAAAAAAATGATTTATTCCCTTAAGATGTGAAAACAAATGCTCCTTTGGGTAACAGATATGAGGAATACCTTAGGAAATTTGGAATAAACTTTCCGACAAAGGAAGAACAAGGTGCTATGCCTTCAGGTTCAACAGATCAAGGACGGGTGACTTATTTGATTCCTGGTATTCATGCAGTGTATGATATAAAACCTCCCAAAGGGAGTGAAAATCATACGCGTGGTTTCACAGATGCTGCTAAAACTGAATTTGCGCACGAAGCTACGCTAACTGCCTCAAAAGGAATCGCATTAACTGGTATAGATTATTTGGTCGATGATGGTTTTGCTAAACTAGTTAAGTTAGATTTTGATGGCAAACTTTCTTGTAAGTTATAATAATAGTATACCTAAATCTTTGTAAAATAAATAAATAAATTAAGTTAATACAAATTAATTACATGATTTTTGAAATTTATTAACACTCTTTGAAACACATACATACAAAATGACCAAATCGATAAAGATTTCGATTAACTTTAAAGATGTTAAAAAAATTCTTTTTAAAAAAGGTGAATTTTGATTCGGTGATAAACAAGATAATACTAGTGTTAGAGTTGGTATCATAAAAAATACAGCCTTTGTCCTTTAACGATTTAAGAGCAATGAAAGAATTTCATCAAAGTTGATTAGGTTTCTTACCTCTAATTTTGATAATTTTTGACATTGAAACTGGGTTGATTAATATCACGTGACACCACAAAATATAAAATAAGTTGCATCTCCAAAACGTATCGTTTTTTTAGAATGGAACCGTTCCTAATTTATCACCCGAGTATCCGCATCATATTGTAAATGGGTACCCGGGTTGTTTCTGGTTACATTATATTAATTTTAAAAACAAAAAATAAATTAGTTGACATGATAACAATCATCAGGTTTTGGATTCTAAAAAACATTCCCTCCTTCAATATAAACCAAATCAGATCAAAACAAACAGTTTGCAACTTTTTGGTAAAGAATGTGAACATTATCATTAATTAAAAAATTGATAGTAATACAAATTTCTCTATTATATCAAAATTAGATATCGATAAAAATAAAAGCCGCCTATCAAATAACGCAAGAATTATTTAGAGTCTATTGGTACTGGTTATAATATTTTTGAACATGTAATTTGAAGAAGGATCTTTCACTTATCGTAATGAATTTAATTCATAAAGAGCAATGCGATGCCGTAACCAGTTACCGATTTAAGCAATGTTCATTTTGACTGGAATTATATATAATAAATTTCGAGATGATTAATTTTTATGTACTATGGCAAATTTGATAATGTAGTTCCACCGATGGTAAAAATTGATGATTTTTCGTGTGATGATTTTTTACATTATCATTAATTTCATCCGTAAATTTGTATGCTTACCATATAATGAGTGAAAAATCAACCATTATTCTGTTCAGAAGCTTGAAAAAAAAAGCCTTTGGGTGAATAAATTTGTCAGTTTGTTTATTTACAATTATCGTTAAAGTAAAATTTTTTGATTTATCATTATTGTCGGTATAAATTATTGTTTTTATTTTTATAAAGTTCCTTCCTTATGAAAGGATTCTCAATGTCTAAAATGTCTGTTCAAAATTCAACTCAATAATCAAACAATTTCACTCCTTAAATAAACCACTATTTTTTTTCCTTATTTCCTTCCAAGCTCTTTCGATTTCCACATTAATAGCCCAAACCCACTCCTCTCTTTCAATCCTACTTCTAGCTCTAAAAACCCAAATTTTTCCAGGACGATCCAACATTGATTTCTTTTTTAAGCATATTTTATTTCTACTTTTCTCTTTATCCTTATCAAGACAAAGTGTTTGCTCTCCTTGCCATATAACAAAGGTACTCTCTTCATCATCATCAAAACAATACAGACCATCTGGATATATTCTTGGTAGCTTATGTGTTCCAGATACATTAAATCTTGTTGAATTTGAATAAAGTAAATCATTTTCTGTGATACTTCCAGAATACACATAACAATCCGCTAAATTAATGCATCCGCGAAGTTTATGAAAATTTTGTCGCGTTGCTGTACCACTTAATGAACTTCGTATATATAAATTATAGTATAATAAATGTCCTTTTATAAGAATATGGTGATAATTTTGGAATGTGCCACGAAATCGTGTTTTATGATATAATAGACCTCCTTTCTATAAAAGGAATCAAGATATAAGTAAGATAGTTTAAAAGAAAATTGAAACTCATAAAAAGTAATTTCTATCTTACAGAAATTCCACGACATCCATTCAAAACGCACCAATGCCAAATAGTCGTATTTACATAGGAGTGAAAATTATTCCAATGGCTGTGTATCCCATCATGATTGGCATTATCATCATCTTCCTGATGATTATCCTCATTCACTTTAAACATATTTATTCGTGTCTGAACATCTGACATTATTCGAGCCTTCCAATATTTTATAAGTGCATCCAATCGTTTAACCCATTCATCCAACGTTTGTCTTGAATACGTCTACAAATATCAATATAATTTAATTCATAATTCCGAAACTTTTTTATTTTCACCAGATAGCTTACCTGTAAGGTGATGACCCTGCCATTATTTAAAACTAAATCAAAATAACGCTCGTGATTCTCGACTTCAATGATCCCCAAATGATCCTTGTCGGCCAATTTCACTTCCATCACATCAATCAAATTTATGAATCCAACGGCATTCTTAATTTGTTTAACACGTCTTTTTGCGTCTGTTTTCATGAAATTATCGGTTTGCCCACATTGTCCTTGTGGTTGTGGTGCAATTGAATATATCAATGGTTGAACAGTTTGCTGTTGCGCTTCATCCGAATTTAAGGTTGGAACTGGCGGCGGAGGCGGGCTTGCCGCGAATGGTTTTAACAAAAAGAGGTAATGATCATGAGAAGTAAAATATAATCGTTTAGGTTTCCTAAGGCCTTTGTTGTTTGTGACCCGAATAAGATATCCCTCAACCGGGGGAGGTTCCTATTAATAAATAAGTTACAAGTTGTTCCTACGTCTTTAAAACCAATGAAAAAAAAAAAATTTACAAACATATAATATTGTTCCGTCACTCAAATGGACAAAAGTCGGATAATGCTCAGTCGGACGTAATTGGAGTTGATGCGTCTAACAAATAAAGATAACAAATAAAGATCGTAAATATATATATATAAAAAAGGTAATAAGAAATAAATCTTTAAAATAATTACCGCTTCAATAAATTGTGGACAAGCCAGTAAATCATTTCGAGCCTTTCCTTCTTCATTTTTTTCCCAAACAATCCACTCCAATCGATCATACCTCTTCCAACATAATCTCAAATCACAAGACTTTAGCCACTCAATTAATACATCTTCCCATTCTGGCTCACCACTCAATTCATCCAAGACCAATTTAGTAACTTCTTCTGCTGTGATATAATAAGCTTGATTACGTCCCTCTAACGGAATTCTCACGTGAACATCAAAATCTGGTACGTACACTTCAAATAAGGAGGGCATTGGATTGACTGATGGCTCACCAAGCGTAGCATATAGTAAACGATACCATTCGACACTTTGTTCTACAGTCTTTGGATTGATCACAAAGACTTTCACTTTCATCCCGCTTCCAGATCGTTGTCTGAGTGCTATGGTATAATCAACCGCTGATAAAAGTCTCAATCTGGTTGTTTCGGTGAACCGCATTTTAGAAACTCGAACTTTCTAAACAAATAAAATAAACTAAATTGATATAGGATTATATGCATTAAAAAAATTAAAAAAGCGAATCAAAATCACAATAAAATTAATATTGTTAAACGTATATACTTTGTTTTTGTACAGTTCTATCATTCCGGGACGTAATTTAACAATGTATTCTCTCCAACCCACTGATTGAGTTTGTTGTTTTCTACTAAGATGACCTTTTAAAGAATGTTTTTTGTAAAGCGTTGGTGTTCCCCGGTTATAAATGCGCTCCGTCCTGACCAACATACGATCTTCTTTTATAATCGTATCAGGATGTAGTTTTGTAGATTTAGATACTGAACTAACGGAATCTGCATGTTCAACTGGATGATTGTCCTCCTGATCTTGATCGTTTACATAATTATTCTCTACGATTTGACTATCATCATGAACATGATTTGGATAATGAGATGATGATGATGATGGTATCATTGATGGAAAATATTCACGTGATTTGCTTTCTTCTTCGGTTATACGTTTCATTATTTTCGAGCTAAATTGTTCATTAAATAAATTTTCGTGAATGGATCTCTCAGGCATTGAAATTCTCCGCGAAAAAAATTTCCGAACGTGAAATGGAGGGGTGACGGGGTATGAACGGGGTTCTTCATTAGGTGTATAAAATATGTCAACATCATCAAAAAAAGGACTATCCTCGTTATCAATCAACTCTTCAGGTTCAGAAACTAAGTAAGGCATATCTGTTAAATGAGTTAAATGAGATGGAGAATGACTAAAAAATATATATGTATATATATATTTTTGACTTAATTTCTCATGAAAAATTTAAACAAACAAAAAAAATAACGATTTTAAAATTGATTTACTTGTCATCACGAATTTCACAAAAATCCAGTGAGGAAATATTAGTAGGACCTCTAAATTCAGGCTCAGCTCGAAAAGTTCTCTGCCTGTTAAGACCATGGTGATGAGTAGCTTGGTCACTTTTTGAAAACCAAAGCGAACTTTTTTTATAAGACCAATTTGAAGGAGTAGGCCCTATGAAAATTCTTCGAGTTGTAGAGTGAAGGTGCTTTGATAATGGAGTGGAAAGTAAAGAATCGTTCATTGATAAGGAATGCTGTGGAATCCATTGAGTAAACGAATTACGGTTTTTCGAACCGGTACTAACATAACCAGAATCTGCTGGCATTTTCATAAATAAAAAGAAATTATTTAATCAACAAAAAAAAATATTTGAGATTTATTTATATAAATAAGCACGCTTTTTTATATAAGGGTTGTTGACATGTGTAAAAAGTTATAGTAACCTGATTAAACACAATACAATTGGTTTGTTTATTACATCAAAAACTTGTCAACAATTTAGGTTATATGACGAACTTCTGATGCAAGTCATGTATGACGTCTTGTTTAATTTAAATTTTTTGTTTTTCATTCGCCTTTCACTTTTGTGCATCATCTGACAATCTTTTTGTCAAGTGACTTTCAAAGCAAGGTACATACGCTGTGCCTACGCCCCGAACATAAACATAGGAATTTTTTTTTTTTTTTATATAAAGTAAATAATTTATTTATTTATTTTATTTATTTATTTATTCATTTATTTATTTTTTTCCATCATTCCTGTCCCGAAAATGATTTCAATCCAAGAATTTCCACCAAAATTACCTATCCAAATATTTCGAATAGCTTTCGCTGCTCCGTTCTTCGTTTTCGTCGCATTTTCCTTGGAACCTCCAAAAACAAAATTAAGATACTTTAGTCTGATCGTTATAATCATATATTTATTCGCACTTCCAATCGTATATCGAGGAGAATATGAAGAGATCGAGATAACCCCAATAACCGCCTTAGCACTTGGTTGGGGTTTTAAGATGATGATTTGGATAAAAAGATGTTTATACATCGAAAAAGAAAAACAAATAGGACCGTTTATTTTGACGTTGTTTTTCTGGAGGACATTACCAAATGTAAACCGGAAGATTAAGAAAGAGGATTCAAAGTTGACGATAAAAGAAATAAATCTGAATATAATTCAACGTGTTGCGTTATTCTTTCTTAAATGGGGCTTATATGAAACGTTTTTTAGATGGTTAACGTATAATGTCCCTGACTTACCAAAAGAAACTTACCCGGTTCGAATTTTCAATTGGTTCACAAAAGGGATTCCAGCTTTAAATCAATTTTTATTACTTTATTACGCTGCTAGTACTTTGGTGGTCATCTTACTTCTATCTTTAGGCTACGATTCATTTCTCGTTATAAATGGATTATTGTTAAGGTTTGTTATCACCTTAAATAATGACAAGGGAACCCTCTTTTTCGATAAACAACAAATAAAAAATATTAAAGAATGGAGTATCTCCATGGCATATGATACAAAACACATGTTCATGTATCCTTATTTCTCAACATCTCCACGAGATCTTTGGTCGACTAGATGGCAATTATTCTTAAAGGAAAGTTTTAAAGAATTAGCATATTTACCAGCTCGCAATCTTTTCATAAACAAATCAAAAAGATTTAGTGAGTTAATTGGAGTTTTAGCAGCTTTCGCAATGAGTGCTATCTTGCACGAATACCTATTACTGGTTGCTTTGAATATATACTCGGGCGAACATTTATTTTTCTTTATGTTACATGGAATTATTTTGGTAATTTGGGAAGGTATCACTAGATCAACAAGAGAAAAAGATTCTAAAAAAAGTTTCTTGGAATCAATTTTGCAAACTAGCATCATGATGATAATCATTTTATTTACCTTGCCTGCATTTGTTGAACCAATCGTACGCCACCCCCGTTGGCTTATCTCATCTGCATTTACAAGCTACAAAAGAGATCCTACTCTCGATTTCCATTATAGTTAATGTTAATATATGATAATTTCCCCCTGTAACACAATATTAATTAACATAATAAAATATTGATGCAAATAATCGGTACATGAACTTGTAAAAAATTAATAAAAAGGGTCATTTTCCACAATAAAATATTTCCAAAATGTTTTTATTACATTAAAGACATTATAATAAGTTGCCAAAAAAAAATTTTGGCTCGATAGACGATGATCAACTATCGGTTTGTACAAAAACGGATAGTTAAATAGTTAATGAATTCGCTAATTTTGGATTTTTGTTGATCAAAAATCAATTGGTTCTACAATTCGGCTTTCCATTTTGGCTGGCTGGCACTCTTACAACTTGTACCAACCTTGGAATACGCATTCGACACCTACTGTGACAAGCAACTGGCAATGCTCGATTAGCGTCTAACTAAATTATATGAGTTTAATTGCTACGCGCCATATGGTGAAAACGACCCGAACATTCCACAGAAAATAAAAAGTAATTCGAGACTTGTTAATGGCATGGAAAGAAAACCCGTATTATATATATCGGAAACTGTGAAATGTTGTGTTAGATTTAAAATAAAAATTTATACTAAAATAGAAATTACTGCATGGACAAATTTTTTATTTTATGAAAGATTTTTTTTCATATAATTAAATTTATATATATATATTTTATATATATATATTTTACACTTAAAATAAAATGAATAAAAAGGAAATTAACTAAAATGATCGTGATTCATAGAAAAAAAAGAGAGTGACATCCAAAGTAAAGTGAAATAATAACGGTTGAAAGTGAAGTGGAGTTGATAAATGTGTAAAATAAAGGGAGGGTTAATATTAATTAATTTTGTGGGATAATAAAGAAGTCAGGCCAGTCAGGCCTTAAATTAATATTAAACGTCCTAAAAATTTTTTTTTTTTGGATATTCCACAATATCCATATCTTTTTTATTCTTCGTTTCTTTTTTGTAATTTATAAATGTAAATATTGTCCAAACACACGCACAAAAAAAGATAAATTACCAATGTCATGATTTTTGTAAAATTAAAAAAAAGTCCAAATATAAACATCCTATAGATAAGAAAAATGTACATTATATTGTTCTAATAAGATGCCAACCAAAATCAATTATAATAGAATAATTTTGTTCGTTAAAAAAGAAGTAAATTCGAAATGGTTCTTCAAATACTCACAGCACATCACACACATCACACATGGTGGCGGCCACGTCAAAATATATTTTGTAACTCATGATGCAAAAGTTGTCGACGACCTCGCAAATTAAATTCCCCCAATCATTTAACGTCAGTCATCCATTTTCTTCCGAACGACTCTAAACACTTCCAACTCCTCAATTGTCTCTTCTAAATCCTGAAATCCATTTGCATGAGCCAATAACTTTTGCCCATGTCTAAAATCAATAAAGACCTCGATCCCATCGCCCAAAAACATGTTTACGTCCAAATGGTTATTTACCCTTAACATCCAAGGTAATAACAATTTTCTTTGTTGCCAGAGGTAGCCAAATATAAATCCATCACCACCAATTCTCATTTCTTGATTCTCGGCTGACCAACTGATACTTTTATACCCACCAAACACAGCCTCATCTTCGTTTTGATTTTTCGTTCTGATTATTGTTATGGTAGGTCCTTGATTATAACATTGCTCTCGCCATTTTTGTTCAGCCAATTCTGCACCGCTACATCTAAATATTAAATGAAAATCAAAGGGAATTTTATCAAATGTCGTATAAGGATTTTTTTCAGGATTATCATCCGTTGTATCGGGATGAAGGATCCAATATGATATCAGTGCTGGTTCTTCTTTTTCTTTTATGATTGTACTGTTTAACCTTAACGGTAGAATGTCATAGATAAATTGAAATTGTGTTTTTGAATGATATTCAATAACCTGATCGTATAATTCTGGTAAAAAAACTTTTGTTAAAGGACCAACTTTTTTAATAAACTCATCATGTTCCATTTGAAAGAATCTTATTAAAGAAAGTAGATTGATCACATTTGATTGTAGTGTTGATATATTTTCTGATGTCCAAGTTGAAAAATCATCGACAAGTGAAATTCCAGGTGTGTTATTTATCCCCCACATTATCACCGCCGCAAATATATCTATCTCTTCTAATCCAAATATGTCTCGCTCTAATAATCCAACCATATAATCATATGGAAGAAATAGAAATTCCTTGGAGCTTACAAAAGCTTTGGGGTGTCGAAGTATTACGTTATTGCACAACGTTACTAATTCTTTACACCTTGAAATTTGTAAAGCTACATAAAGGACTTCACTACTTTTCTCATGGATCCAACTTTTTTCGTCTCGTATTAAATCGGCTTCCATATAATCTACAAAAGAATCCATCATTAATACGTCAGCTGCTTTTAACAATTGTAATTTTTCTGAAACCCCTACTTTTTCTAAGTTTAAATATGCACCATATATATAACTACAAATAAATAAATAAATAAGATTCAATTTTTAATTTTTTTTTAAAAAAAAATAAAATAAAAAAATAATAAAAAAAATAAAAATGGAATCTCAATGATTACTCTTCGAGAAGAAAGAACAAAAGAATGAAAAGAGAATACTAATCGTATGAATTAAAAAAAAATCCCATACATACAAGAGCACATGACCAAAGATAGTCTGCGGTATGTCCATACCGCGCAAATCAATAACATAATAGCCATCCTCTTTCTTTTTACTCCATACAGTAGATAATGCAGCTCTAAAATACTCTGACCGGTTTTTTAAAATGATTGAATGAGCCTTAAATGTTTCACTGCTAGAATTATTACCAACATAAATAATGACATCAAATGTTTCTTCTTGATCTAATATTTTTAGGAAATCGCAGGATAGTTGTTTAAATGATTTCACTGTATCGTATATTTCTGGCATGGTTATACCGTTTGTATATAATTTTTTTAATCTTTTACTTTTTAATTTATGAAAAGGATGGAAATGTTGATAAAGAAGGTTAATTTTTTTTAAAAAAAAAAAAATAAAAAAAAAAAGGAAGGTAAATAAATAATAAAATAGAGGTGAAAGTAACGAAATTTCCGGGAAAATGAAACTTATTTATATGTCAAGTTTGTGTTCATGCAGGGTGATACATTATTAGCCACATGTTAGAGTTGTCAGTTTCGCATTATTCCTTTTCCAACTAATACGAAATTCAAAAAATTTTAAAATGAACGGATTTTTTGAAGATTTAAAAAAAAAATAAGTGAATGAAAAAAAATACAAACCGGGTAGAAGGAAAAAGGTTTAGCTATTTTTCTATTATATGGAAAGTAGTAACACCATATTA